GCCCGACTAAACTAAATGTATCACTCAATCCAACCGACCTTATTCGTTGGATTCGATTTGGGTTGGGTCGGGCTACAGTATTTGAACAAAAGAATGAAATTAGAAGAACAGATTTGAATCCCACATTACATACATCTAAAGAAAATATATATATCTATCTTAATTTCACTCCCTCATATTTTAAATTTTATGTTTAAAATATTTAAATATTTTCATTGGTATTGTCCTATGTCTCCGTGATTTTTGTTTTTTTGTTAACTAAGAAGTCTTATATCAATGACGATGTGTGATCTTACTTTATTTTTAAGTAAAGTGGGACTTTGATTTTTTTTTTTTTTCTTTAACTCATGACTTAATTCAGATAATATATTTTATTGGGTGAAGTTTTTATTTAATAGGATTTAATGGTGAGATTGAAATATAGTATTAAAAAGAAATATCAATTCATGTCACTTCGATATGTTAAAAAAATGAAAAATGACTGTACTTGACAATTCCTTTACAGATTTAGCCTACTCAGTACTTCCAACATATAATATTATATATGAGCATGAAAGTAGAGTATAGTTCGGTAAGTATGAAAACAAATACTACATATAGTTTAAAACTGCTATTATTTCCTTTTCTTTTCATTTATTTTTTCTTATTATTTTATAAGTCAAATGAGATATTACACGTCAAAACGAGCATAGTTCAACGGTAGTTAACATATATCTTATACAATTGGTTTAAGTTGATACGTTGATTCTTTCGAGATCATGAATGGGAAGAATTTTCCCCAATTCATTTAAGAGATGAAGGATGGAGAATACATTCTTGGTCCCACCCCGTCCCAACCCTCAATTTTAACATGATAAGTGTTATAATTTGTTTACGTTTGCAATTAAATTTTTAATAAGAAAACATTAATTTTTTTAAAATAATTATTTCAATTATAGAAAAAAAAAGCAAGCCTACGAAAAGTTGACAATCATACTCTTATAATTTTTGCAATTAACTTAACAGACCACAGACCACTCCTTTATAAACTATACATATAAGATAAATATTGTTAACAATCTCGGTAAAAATATATATATATATATATTTTGATAACAATCAAACCCTCAAATCAATTATAGGTTAATTGTTACCATTAAACTCAAAATTTTGGGCCTATAGCTTTCCCCGTCCGACCTGACACGGCTTTACTTTTGGTTTCATCTGTAAGATCTCACACCAATAGAGATAATTATCATCTCTTATATACCCATGATCATTCACTTCCTTCGTCGGACTTGTTTGCCTTCCTTACAAACCTAACAAAAAAAATAATTGAAATTCTTTGTAATTCTTTTTTAAAAAGTAATTTTTAAAAACAGATTTTTATTTTTCAAAATCTGGTTTTCCTTCTAATATTCAACTTAACAAATTTCTTTTTCATTCTAAAACTTTTCTCTCGACAAATATCACTCTAAAAAATTTATTTTTCTCTCTCTAAAATTTTAATATTTTAATATTTATCATTGTTTATCTCTCTATCATTTTTTCATCTTTATGTATTTTTCTTTTTTTTCCTCTTTTTCTAACAAATCACTCTCATTTATCTCCCTAAAAATTTGATATTTTTTCGAACTTTTCTTTCTCTAAAATTTCGTTGTTTATAACTCTTCTTTCTATTCCTAATTTATTTTTCATCTGAAAATTATATCTTCTTTTCTTGTTCAATTTTCTTTTACTATTATTTTTATTTTTCTTTGTATTTATTTATTTCCTCGAACGAGTATATTTCAAATTTTGTTTTTATCTAAGTTTTTTCTCGCTACAATCTTTCTTTTTCTTTCTAATTTTTTTCTTTACTCTTTTTCTCTGTTGTGTCTAACTTTTCTTTGATCACTATCCTTTTTTTTTCTCTAAATCTTATTCTCTGTCTCTCTAAAATTTCTCTTTCAAAAATTTATTTTCATCTCTATAAACTTGTGTTTTCATATCATTACATTAAGGATGACAAAAAGTCTCGCACGGTTAGAAATGCATATCCCAACGTAGTCCCAATTCCATTTTTTAAATAACTAATATATATTTTATTGACATATTTATTAAATTGGGAATAAAATATTAAATATTTTTAAAACTAATTATTTATATTAGTAAATAATAATTCTAAAAATAATTAACATATATTTATTACATTTTTTTAATTATAAAAATAACTAAAAATAATTATAAAACTAGTAATTTTTCTAGTGAATATCGTCGTCCCTAAATAAGGATTCTTTAATCTGGATCTCAATTACCGGATCGAAGAACAAGGTGGAAACGAGGGACTAAACATTTTTACGAGCACTGAGAATGGAAGAAAACATCCTCACTCACTCCCGTCCATAAAAAAACTAAAAACTAAAAAGAAAATGGTTATCAAACGAACCTTTAGTGGTTAGTTTTAAAATTTATAGAAATTAAAAAAAAAACAAAAAGGAATAGGCTAAATTGTTTAACGATGTTAGTTTGAGCCTTTGATTGCAATAATCCTTATAATTTACATGTAGTTTTTTCATTTGACAATATTTAAAGGTTTAATGGTAAGAACTAATTTATAAATTTAGGAGGAGATTGGTCAAATTCAAAGTTTACGAGGGTGTGTAATGTCAACTTCAACTATACTCACGTGGTTAGGTATATATCTCTAACCAAAAGGTCATGAATTCAAATCCACAACCTCACGAGAGGTTTTTGCAATTTATTAATAATTAATTTTTAAATATATATACACACACATATATTTATAAATGGGTATACTAAAAAAAAAATTATAAATGGGCATCCGGAATTTGAATCTCGAGCCTAAAAAAATTGTAGATTCAATCTATCGTTGAACTATGCTCTCACATGTTGGATAATTTCTTTTTAGTGTGTAGTGGGTCATTTTTATATTTTAGGTATTTGATGTCACCTTGTTTCCGTGGTCTGCGAATATAGATTTTCATGATCTTTTTAGGAGAGTTTGATATATCTTTTCACATTTAAGCACTTTTTCTTTTTGTAATTGTGTTGAGGAATCATCTATCAAATGTTTAACTTACACTTGTGTCAATTATTAACGATTTTTTAACAATTCTTGTGCAAGTGTACACAAATCGTGTACCAAATAATAAAAATATCGAATTCATAGGGATTGAGTAATTAAACACTTCAACTTTCACTCAATAAATGGAAAAACAAACTAGAGATATTCTTGATTATCGCTACTTTGCAAATAATATAAAAGTGCATTTAAACGAGAGTAAAACATAATTGAAATCACCCAATCTTTCAGTATAAGGCACACAAGAACAGAGAGAAAAGAGAAGACTAAAATTCAAGTGTAAAAATAGGGAGTTGTGTACCTATTATTGTGATGTTACTAACTGATGCTCCAGCAATAAGGTTGTTATAACTACTGGCCAAAGAGACGTGGAAGCTTCCCAGATTTCCTAGATTTCAACGCTATTTTAACCATTGTTAAAATCAGTGCCACTTCAACTCAGTTTATAGCCATGTTAGCTAAGACCTATTCCTAAGTACCGACGCTCTAAACTCGTTTGTAGATCTAACACAAGTTAAACTATTCCCTCTCTACAATCTTCTGAAAGTTAATAAAGAGTTCATTAAACACGGCGATCAAAGCACATTGAACTTAAAAATGCAAAACAAGCTTTAACTAAGTAGAAACAAGTTTATAAACCAGAAAATTAGCATTTACAAGCAAAAGTCCACAACCTCCTTAATGTATTTAGCTACTAAATGCTAAAGTAGGGGGAGGAAGAAAATACAAAGCCCATCGAAAGTGAAATACAAAAGGAGGGAGAAAGTGAGAAAAACAGTAGAAAATCCACAGTTAAAGCTCCAAGCTCCCTCTCCTTCCGGTTCTTCTTCGTGTCCCCGCCTTAATGAGAATCTTCTCTCTTTTTGGGATTGATTGAGAATCAATGGAGTCAGCCTTGAATGCAAGCTTTTCTACCACTCCTCAATTTCAGGGCAACCAAAATGGATAGCATGGGTCCAACTCAATTTCAGATGAATCTACATTTTACAGCAGTAATTCTCGAGTAACTTTTTCCAAAATTGGCTCCGATGCTCCAGCATCATTATCTTCACTACAACAAAACATTCAAAATCAGAAATATTTTGCAAAAGTCACAACGTTAACTAAAAATGCAAGATCACTTTGAACTTTTACCTATTAAGCCTAAAACAATTGTTATCGGAGCTTCTTTGTGAAATTTCTTACGTACCCAAGACATTTTCCTCCTAAAATATATTTGGAGAGTTATCATCAATCATTTTAAAGTAAATTTTTTAGTAATCAAACTCTCAAGTGTCTTATTAAAAAATGTATTATAAGACAATCCAATTTTTTAAAAACTTATTTTATTTATGACAAAATATTGTAGATTTTTTAAAAGATAGGTTTAGGTACCCAATATTCCTTAGAAAATCATACTAAAAGTAATCCATAAATTATTATTTTTTTTTTTGAGAAAAAGTAGTTGAGACGGAAATAATTGAAACATATCCTAAAATTTAGTTGATAAATAAAACCTGAAATTTTTATGTTTCAAACAGAAAAATTGACGGATGGATAATTTTGAAATAAGTTTGAAGTTTAAGGATAAAAATGGAACTTTAAAAAAATTTTAGAATATTATCATTGACCTATATTCTTATAAAATTATTGGTTGGTTTACAAACAATATTTTAATTTAATAATTTTGAGGAGAATAAATTGCCATAGTTATTTAAATTTTAATGAAATTCATGTCATTTCTTGATACAACCAGATGAATCTCTCAAAAAGCAAATTACATGCGAGTATATGTTTCTCTTTTCAACTTCAACAACAACATTTTTTATACGTTAAAAGTGAGCGTAATTAATATATATCTTTAATTAAAAGTGAAAAGATTTGATACCTAAAAAAAATTAATAATAACATTTCGAAAAAAAAGCGAAACAAGAAAAATCTCAGCCAGAAGATTAAAAGGAAATGGGGCGAAAAAGGAAGCGGAAGAAGGAACAGTAGCTACACAAGGAAAAAGCAAGAAATATGTGTGGTTGGAAGAGCTCGTTTTTGCATTTGGATTCTAATGGTGCGAAAAATAACAGAAATATATGAATTTGTTTGCTCACTGGAATTGGAAAATTCTCCACTGAAGCAGCAATGGCTTCACTTTGTCTGAATTCATTTTCTCCACCATCGCCTTCGCAGCCTCGCAGGCTCTTCGAACCCTCTTTTCCCTCTTCTTCTTCTTCTTCTTCTCTGACTCGCAACAATTACACCTTAAAACCTATCGTCGTCCGTGGAAATCCCCCGACCTTCGTCTCCGCTCCAGGTCGCCGAATCGTTGCTGGTTAGTGTTTTCGGTATTTGAACTGGACCTTCGCAATATCCGTGGTGGATTAATGGCTTTTCCTTTTTCATGTTCGTTTCTTCAGCTTCATGGAGAAGCTTTTAGGACTTTGCGTTTCCGCTTTTTGCTTATTAGCAACCGATCCATTTTAATCTCGAACTAACAATTTTCCCTCATTTTTGCTTGTTCTTGACTCTGTTTAGTTGGGGATTTGCATGGAGATCTTAAACAAACTAGATTGGCGCTTGAGATGGCTGGTGTCTTGGGCTCCGATACACAGGACTTGTGGACTGGAGGACAAACGGTGCGCCTGCCCTCATTTGAATACATTTTAGACCAAACATATGGCGTAGTTCCTATTGGTTTGGTGTTTTCTTTTTCCTTTAATTTAGTCCCTATTGTTTAAAATGTTTTTATTTAGTCATTTTTTTAAGTTTAAACATTTTTCAATTGTACCATGTCGTATGAACTTAGTGAGAAATCAAGGCATGAGGAAAAGTTGAAATTTATATCAACTTGTTAGAAATTTGGAGTGGGTAAGGCTTTCTTTAAACTTTTGCCAATTCACTACTTGGTTGACATTTAGTAACGAAAAGGGTATAATTTAAAATGGTTAAATTAAAAAGTAAGGGACTAGATCGAAACTTTTTAAGGGAATAAAG